GCACAAATCATATACGTTCAGCATATAAACTAAGCACCTTCTACAACTGCATATTCGTTAATTTCAACTGCTTCCACCATATATAACTTTCATCCAACGATTTATCAAATGCCTCCTAAACTCAGTAAGCAATGAAGTCTGTCTGAACTGATGTAGCAATTAACAGAAATAACCATAGAAAAATAAATTAGAGAAAAACAATAATACTAACACCAAACGATAGCATACCGCACCCTATTCCTCTACTTACCACTGTACGCCATCACTGTGTAACTGAATGCCATGCCGTACGACACATAATTATCAAACTCATATGGATTACCGGACATGATGTCGGGCAGCAGGTTCTCGTTCGCTAAAGCATACAAATTTCGAGTATTCTCGTAGGTGCTGCCACCCGTGCTCGCGCTAAATGAAACGGCTAGAAATTGTCCTTGAGATATGTTCATTGCATAAGGTGTTAGAGTAAACTGTTGAACGCCACTTTTATTTTGAATCTGGACGGGTGGAATGAGATATGGTGAACTAAGATTGAAGAGCATCGGGTAACCACTGACGAGGGTATCGTCATCAACGAGATAAAGCCATATTTGAGAGAGATTATTGCCAGATGGAGCAGTGTAGAAATTGAATGAAACATTCCGAACGTAACCAGATATTTTTGCACGATCAATATAATTAAACTGTGTATAATCCATGTCATAGTCGTCCTGAGACGTGCCTTTACTCGTAGTGCCATATGTTGCTAGAATGAGTAAACTGTTTGTGTCAATGATGCAAAAGTGAGAATGTGTTTGAGAACCACAAATTTATTATAGCTTGAGAAGTTAGTTCTTACCAGATGTTGCTGATGAGACGTTTGTAGTTGCAGCTATAATGAGACAAACACAAATTTGAGATGATCTAAGTCTCCCTTACAAGGAAGCATTGTGTCAATCATTACCTGCTTGTGCTGCTGATGATGTAATGATAAAAGACATCGCTACTCCGTCGTAAATCTCGGTATAATAAATTGTAGCACTTTTGTTAACCGTCAACGAAGAATTCGCAAAATAATAGAGGTTTCGAATCACTAAATATGCGCTGCCAGCTCCGGGACCAAATCCACAGGCTACAAACTGTCCGACAGAAACGTTCATTAAATAAGCCGGCAGAAGAAACTGCTGAGCTGTGCCTATGACATTGGTTATACTGGACGATGG